TAAAGTATATGTAACTCTTAAGGGCTTTACTATAGGGCGCCCTAGCTAGAAGCTTAACTAGCAGATGTATAAGCCCTATTTAATTATAGGTATAAGAGGTTATTTGTACTAGCTTAAGCTCCCTTTATACATAAGGATGCACAACATCTTTTATGTAGACTGCCTATAGCAGGCAGCACTTATAATACTGCTAGGTTAGGTTAAGCCTCTAGAGGAGCTAATTAAGGTTAACAGTTACTTTAAGTAGCAGGTTTAGAACATCCTAGATAGTTATGTCTACTGCAGGCGTCTCTAATACTAAGCCTTATAGGTAGGCTATAATCCTAACCCTACCTAGTATAATGCCAACAGATTCCTTAGAGCTCTACATAAGGTAAGGGACTTCTACTAAGCATATCCTACTAAGCCTAGTCTGCTAGCGCGACTAGACGCCTAGTTGCAAGTGTATAAAAAAGGCAAGAATATAAAACTTATAAAGGTTAATAATTAACCTACGCTAGGGTCTTAACTAGTTTAAAGACTAATATAGAGGCGCTAAACTACCTAGTCTTAGGGATAAGACTGCCTTAGAAGGGGGTAATGTAACAGTCCTACGCAGAGAGCTCTGTCGCGCTTCACATAACAAGCTGCCTGTGCAGCTAATTAGGATATAGGGGGTGCAACTAGCGCAACGCTATTAGTTTACTTAGCGCTAGCGTCTTTGCTAGCGCTTTAGCGCTACAAGCACTTCTTCTATAGAGCTGCCCTTAAAGCTCCCTTTCTCCTCTCTATCTTAGTGTAGCTGAAATAGAGCTGACCTACTCTGCCTTGCTTCCCCAGCTCCATACAGTAGTAGAGACAGTGCTTGTCATCACAATAGTAGAGATTTTTACTGCGCCTATGTCCTATAGTTTACCTTAGTATACTATATAGTATTAGTTATTAAGAATAAACTACTTAGCATACTTTTTAGGTTTAATGCTATAGATGTCCTTTCCTATTGCACAGTGTAGATAGGTAGTAGAGGTAAGGTAGTTAATAGCTTTTTTAGCATCTTTACTTTTTTATTTTATTTTCTCTGCATTATGTAAATTATTTTTTTTTTAGAGTAACTTTTAAAGTCTTAGATGTATAAAGTAATAGCTTTATATAATAAAGTTTTATTATAAAAAATTTTATATAAGGTAACATACTAGTTCTTTACTTATCTATAGTTATTATAAAAGTAGTTTAATAACTAACATTTTTCTTTATAGCAAATAAAGCACTTCTTTGTCTGCGTACAGTTGTCTCTAGATTATAGCCTAAACCTAGATAGAGATCTTCTATGTTATCCTCTTCTGCGCAGAGGGAAGCTTTTTTCTTGTTATGCAGAGTTGTATTAGCAGTTTATATAGTATGCATTAGGCAGTTTCTAAAGGTATTAGTTTACCTTTTAGTCTATAGTAACTTAAAGTAATGCCTGTAGGTTACTAAATAAGGCTTTATATAAGGGCTTAATAGTAAACATAGCATGTTCTAGTTTTAGTTGTCCTTAATAGGCTTATATAACAGCAGTGTGCAGTAGAACATCTTTTTAGAATTTTATTTTTAGTGCCTTTTATATAAGTATAAGCTTATTAATTATTACTTTAAAAACTTTATATAAACTTTTATTAAAGTTTTTTTATTAGCATTATATAAAAGTTATTGTTGTCTAGTTTATCTAGTACTAGCTATAGTTTACATTAGTGTTAAAGTAACTGCTTAAGGTGTTATATAAATGCTTTTAGTTATATCTAGAGCCTATGTTATGCATATAGTACATATTTGCCTAACTTTTTAGAATATCTAGAAAGATGTCTATATACTAAGTTTCTTAGATATTTAGCTATTAACATAAATTAATAAAGATTTTTATTTTATTTATAAAAATATTATATAGTTAACTTATGTAGTTATTATTTTTTTTATACTTTTTAAACTTATATAATTTTATTTACTAGAAGTTTTTTTTTAGCAGTTTCTTTTTAAAGTAGAAGTTTATACAGGTTATAATGTAGTATAGATTATGCAGGTAGTATTAGTAGTGCATACACTACTGCAGGCAGTAGTGTGTACAATTAAGGGTATAGAGCAGGCGTTAGGTAGGGTAGCATGTATTATTTGTACAGTAATTAGTGTACTACTAGCTAAAGTGTAAAAGTAGGTAATACTAGTATATTTAGTGTTAATAGCAGCATTATGTTTAGTCTACTTCTATGTAAAGCCTTATATAGTAATAGAAGTTATGTATAAAGCCTTTTTAGTGTAATTACTTTTTTTTATGCTATATTATATAGCTTCTAGGCTTAGGTACCTTTAGTGCCTAGCTATAGTGTAATTCTTTTATTCTTTAGCACTTATATAAGCTTTTTTTTAAACATGTAGCTAAGTGCTAAGAAGTCTTATAGTGTTTATTCTTTAAAATTCTTTATATATAAACTTAAAAAAGTAGCGCTTTTTTAAGTTATTATATATAAATTAGTAATTATATAACTTATATATAATTAAGTTTATAAGCTTATTAAAGCCTTTAATATGTTAATCTTGTTATTCTAGTACTCTAGGCTAGTTTTATTTTATAGTGTTACCTTTAATATCTCTATGTCCTTTATAAGTTATTTATATAATAGAAATTATTCTTTATTTTTATTATTATTATATAGAGTTATTAGTTGCTAGTAAGATTTTATTATAATAGTATAGTTAATTACTTTTCTAGTAAATTACACAGGTACTGCTATTATCTAGCTGCTAGGTTATACAGCTTTAATAGCTTTAGTGTGCGCCTTACACTATCTTCTTTTTACTTTGTATAGTAGCAGAGCTTGCTGTATAATGTAAAGGATTAATCTGCTATTATCTAGCTACTAGGTTATACAGCTTTAGTAGCTTTAGTGTGCGTCTTACACTATCTTCTTCTTACTTTATATAGTAGCAAAGCTTGCTGTATAATGTAAAAAATTAATCTGCTATTCTAAAAAATAAGTAACTAAATAAAGTACCTTATAAGGTGTAAGTGCTTTGTTGTTACTCTTTTTAAAAAATAAGTAATAAAATAAAGTACTTTATAAAGTGTAAGTACTTTATTATTACTTTTACTAATTTGTAGTTAATTAAATTAACTATTAATTAGTGTTAAATAGGCTCTAACAGCTAGCTGCTTATAGCATAAGCACTTAAGTAGCAAAAGTAAGAGTAGTGTATAGTGTGCATAGTGTATAAAGTAGGTAAAGTAAAAGTAACATGTTTCTAGTTCTATTACTCTTGTCTTTTCTCTGTACAAAGGAAAAGGGGGATATCTAGATGTTTGCGCATAGAGGTTTGCGCACAAGCATCATGTGACATAGATACGTGGTCCTGCTTGTGCGCGATCGCTTGTATCTAGACTGTGACGCTGCTGCTGCGTACAGACACTAACTTTAGTATTATTTAAATTTTCTTCTTTTACTATATAAGCCCTAGGTGTACGTAGTTTAAAACAGTAGTAAGAGATATAAAAAAAGTGCTAAAAAGATCCCTCTAGTTTTAAGTAATAATGCTCTAAAGTTCTAACGTACCTAACGGGTTGGCCGGCCACACAGGTTGGCCGGCCACTTTTGCTAAGCCCCCACTAAACTCTACCTATCTATATAATGCCTTAACAACAACACTAGATTAAATCTTCTAAAGAATGTTAGATACAGCTTACTCTTTAGGCTCTTAAATAAGACTTAAAACTCTCCTTACAACACGCTGCAGCTATCTATAATGTCTCTTACACAACACTAAGCAATTAACGCGCTAGACAGCCTTTATAAGCAGAATGCTAGCCTAAATTAAGGAATCTAACTAAGCTTAAAAAAGAGGTAGTTATTAAGTATATACTTAAGCTTATTACACGCAGATTTCCCCCTAGGCTTGCAGCTATAGCTAATATAGCTAATTCCTTACCTGCAGAGCGCAATCTAGGCTAGGTTAGCTTAAACTAGACTAGTATGTAGGTTAAGCACTGCCCTAAGTTTATAATAAAGTTTAATTATAAGTATAATTATAAGAGAGCGCTTTATAAGGATCTAGAGGTTATCTAGGGCTAGTTTTGCCTAGTAGCTAACATAAAAGCTAAGTATAGTATCTAGAATAAAAACAGGTATAACTTTAATAAGTTAGGCTTTATAATAGGCTAGATATTAACTAGAGCAGTTGTTACAGCTTTAGAGAAATAAAAACAGCTAAAGGTAATATAGTAAAGTAATAAGAAGTAAATAATAGTTATCTAAGGCATTAACATAATAAAGTAGGCTATAAAATTACAAAGCTTTAAGCAGCAAATAAGGCTGCTACGCAACATAGATTGCATAAAAGAAAGTAGATTTAGGCAAAAAAGACTTTAATAGTTAAAAATAAAGCTTGTCTAACTACTCTAAAGAAGTTTAGAGCGCGTAGTAATAGAAAAAAGCTAAAAACACAGGTGCGCGCTAAAAAAGGTAAGCTAAGTTAAAGGTAATGTAGGCAGTGCAATTAGACTAGGCATAACTTGTGTATGTATAAGCAAGTAGTAGAAGTAGACTCTAAATAATATCTTGTGTTATATTACTCTATACAGGGCTAAAGTAGGCTGTTTTGCGAGAGAATAGGGTGGTTTTAGTGGGGGCTTGGCAAAAGTGGCCGGCCAACCCGTGTGGCCGGCCAACCCGTTAGGTACGTTACTAATAATGTATTAAAAAAATATCTTAAAAAATTACCTAGTTAATAAAAGCAGCCTATAATAACTCTTTCTACTATAAATTATAACTTATAGCTCTTACAGAGCCTACTGCTAACGCTGCTTCCTAAGGGTTTACTAGCTAGCAAAGACTATTAGGTAAAAGCTTCTCTCTAGTAACATCTATCTAGTAGTCCTTAAGTAGATAAGCTATAATATATTAATAGCTGCTAATAATTTTACTAGCTTTATACACTTTTTAAAAGTAATAAAGACAGTAGAGCTAAAATTTTACCTTTAAGCTATTATTATTTATATGCTAAAGGTTAGCACTTGTTACGGTCTACGGTTGGACCAGCGTAACTCCACCGGCAGTGCTCCACCATCTAGCTGGGTTGGAACAGGGCTCGCTTATGAACCAGTCGGAGGACACGGAAGCAGCACCGTTGCCCGCGGTAATGGAAGAATGCATCGTCCAGTAGGAAGACGGGCCACGAGTCCTGATAAAGTCTTAGCGAGTCCAGCAAGCTAAGACAAGTTAGCAGTACAGCTAACTTAGAGAGCTTACCTAAGCTCGCCTTAGCACTCCCTGCACATGTATATAGTTCCTACATTAAACAACCTTTAGAAGGCGTGTTTAACGTTTAGTTTATTCTCTACATAGACTAAGTAGCATTTAGCTTTTTAAAGAGCTGTAATACTATTTGTATATCTTACACTATATATACCTCTAACCCTGTCTAACAGGACTGTTTAACCCGGCCTCCATACTGCCGCATACAGGGCAAACCACGATCTGGTCGCTCTACCCTCTCTCCATCAGCCCATTAGCCCTTACGTAGGACTGTACACCCTACCGTCGGCCCCTACCATCCGACCTGCCTCTCACCGCAGAAACATCCACGACCCGCGTGCTTCACCGAAGCAAGGATTGTAACAGCACTATGCTACTAAATAGCTAATAATTTACACCCTTTTTAAAGCTAGCTAAGGTGCTTTACATAGTATCTAAGCTGCTCTACATTTAGCTTTTTCTTTACTACTAATACATTATTTTACTTAATAGTAAAGGCCTAGCTAAAGTTAAAGTAATAATTCTTAAAAAACTTCTTAAATTAGGCATTAAAAATACTAAAGAACAGAGACCCCTTATAGGATAAGAACTAGAAAAGTAAAAAGCATAACTTTTTAAGTTAACAAGAACTAGCGTGATAAGCTACTAGAAATAAGGCTAAGCTTAAAGCCTAGGCCTAGTTAGATAGGTTGCGTTAGCCTCTCTAAATCTAATTTAACATAGCTATAATAAAGATAATAGAGATAATAGAGAAATATAAGATAAAAATGTTAATTAAGATAAAAACTACTAGTAAAACAACACTGCTCTATAATACAGCAAAATCTTTATAGTTAGTACTACACTAACATGTAAATAGTGGCACAAACACGCTCCCTTAGCCCTTACGCGCGTTAAAGACTACAACCTTAAAAAAGTCTACTTTAATTATAATACTACTTACTTTTAAGCCTTATTAATTAAATTATAATAGTTAAAAATGTAGTTACGTTTGTTTGCCTTACGTAATTATAGGTGGAGCAAAAGTATTAATTGTACTACTTCCTGTTAGAAACGCTGACTACATAGACTATTTGATTCTATTTTGTATTCTCTATTATTTAATTTAAACGTTGATTTTCTATTGTATTATTAGGGCAGAGTCTACTAACTTATTAAGATAAATTTATATTGCCCTACTAGGATCTAACGTTACATCTTATTCACAAAGTGTGAAACATAAAAGGGGTAATTTAAGACAGAAATCTGCATTCTTGTAGCTATCTTCTAATCACAGTAAGACGGTTAATAAGAAAAGTTAATTATACAGATTTTCTATGTTGTGTAGTAATATGCTGTATCTAATTCAAATACCCTGCATGACATCCCTCCCTAGTGTTACGGTCTATGGTTGGACCGACGTAACTCCACCTGAGGTACTCTACAATCTAGCTAGGTTGGGGCAGGGCTCGTTCACCGACCAATTGGAAGATATGGAGGCAGCACAGCTGCCTAGGATTACGGAAGAATGCACTGTCTAGTAGGAAGGAAGGCTAAGGAATAAGAACAAGTTAAATAAGTTAGACAAGTCGCGCTAAGTGAACTTGTCTAAACTTGTCTAACGCGTTCTTAGCGCCCTTAGACATGTATATAGTTCTAACCTTAAATAACTTTTAGAAGGTGTGTTTAATGTTTAGTTTATTTTTTATATAGACTAAGTAGCTTTCTAGCTTTCTAAAGAGCTGTAATACTATTTGTATATCTTGCAACATATATACCTCTAATTCTGTCCAACAGGACTGTTTGACCTGGCCACCATACTGCCGCCACAGGGACAAACCACGATCTGGTCACTCTACTCTACTCCATTAGCCCATTAGCCCTTACGTAGGACTGTACACCCTACCGTCGGCCCCTGACCTCCGTCCTATCTCCCCTGGAATAACATCGACCCGAGTGCTTCCCGAAGCAAGGATTGTAACCCCTGGGTTGCTGGACGCACCCTGAGATTGGACAAACAATAGGGACTTCATCTTTGTAACTATCTCAACTTCACACACATGCCTCTATTTATATATTTCTATTCAGGTCATGTATAGCAATTACTTCTAAACTCCTAAGGCCTCTCCAAACTAAAAATTACAAATGTATTGCCGCCTCTCCACCTAATTAGCAGTGAGCCTATTTTGTAGCATAAAACGACTCTAGAAAGTACAATTCCACTATTAAACTCTCACTATTTCTTATATATAAAAGAACTATATTTGAATTTAAAAATTATACTATCATACTAGAAAGTCATTAGCAGCCCCATTGCCGCGGTAGAGTGCGAATTCAGGCAACGTCACGTGCCGATCGGTACTTCGCAATCAAAGCTATCACAATCCTGGTTAGTGAAGAGCGATCCGGCACATTTTACGTAAATTTTACGTTGTATTATATATCACAAAGCTAATATAATTTTGGTGTGGTTGTCAAGCCTGTGGCTGCGCGTTGACTCTCCTCTTTGGGCTGAATCCTTCGGAGATTCTGTGAAGCTAGGAGGAGCACCAGAGGCATGAAGAACTAGATTGATTGCTAAAAGAGAGCAACTAACGTCCGTCCCTGGGTCGCGCAAAACCCACCGTGCCGCAAAATATGAGGGGTACTTTAACTTTAAGCGACTATAACTCTACACACACGTTAAGGTTTATTATAATTCTGTTTAATTTGTGTAATAGAGCTTCTTTTAAACATTTAAAACAGCTCCTGCCTAAGAATTACGTTTGCATTATTGCCTTCGTGCCTAATTTGCAGGGAGCCTCTTCCTATAGCGTGACAGAGTTCCTTCCCTACAGCACCACCATCAAGCTCTTATCACCCTATAATACTTACAAATGGTCTTATTAAGCCTTAGAACGTCGCTATTATGCTAAGAAGTTCTCGTTAGCCTTATGCCTGCTGTCGCGCACGAGTTTATGCTAGGCCGCTACCCTGGTTAGTACTTCTAATTAAACTAACTACTAATTTTGGCTAGTGCAAAACAACCCCACGCCAACGTAATCGTCGTAGATCCTAGGACCCATCTTGAACCCGATCATCAAATGAAGCTTTTGAGGCCTGATTAACGTTACGGGATGTCATCTCACTATTAGTATGTAGAAAGATAGGAGGGGGTTGCAAGATAAGTACCGGTACCTAACCCTAAACCCCCCCCCCCTCTCTCCTAGAGAACCGGGGGAGCGCCCAAAATGGCAGCAGGAGCAAATTCGAATATATTTGAGACTCTATCGTCACTTGCATCACCTCCATCGAGCCGACCTACCTCGCCGCCGCCATCGAACACGTATACACACCGAACCGCTTCACCGTCACCGTCTTACCCATGCCGAACCGATTCACCATCATCGTCCAACGCGTCGCAATCCTTCCGAACAATTCGGTCACGTCACACCACGTTCCCATCTACATGG